GGGGGCTAGAAGGCCATTCCTACTGGGCAATGCATCACAGCTCTAAAACAGCTTTACAAAGCACATTCCTAGGGGGAGACAGGGAGAGCGGAGGGAAAAGGTGACACTGCCCCAGAAGAAAGGTACTCATTACCTGACTTATTAGGTGACTGTACGTCACCTTTATAGAAACAGTAACAAATAAAACTTAAAATAAACAAACAACAAAACACAAAGCACATGTCTTCAGGTGAGCACGAGCAATACTTATTCAGCACTGCAAGGAGGAGCCGGTGTCTAGACCACAACTCTCCTGTGATCCACGCAGAGCCGAGCCAGGGGCAGGCAGGGCGAGATCACACAGGACTCTGTGTGACACGGATACTTCCTTACACACCTTCTTCAGCTTCTCCTGTTTCTTCTCTTCGTCATCGCTGTCAGAGCTGCTCTTCCGGTGCTTCTTCTTCTTTTTCTTCTTCTTCTTCTCTTCCTTTAGTTTTTCTTGGTGCATCTGCGGGAGAGGATGGCCGCCCAGGGCCGTTAGTATGGTAGCGAGCACAAGCCTCGGCTCCTCCCCAGAGGTCTGAGTTCAGAGCAGTGATTCGGACGGAACTCACCTCCACGAGCGTCTGTGGTTTCTTCACCGACTCTTCTCCAGTCTCATCACTTATCACGCACTCCTCGGCGTTCTGTGTGACAGAGGCTCGTGTTACCCATGGTTAGACAGAAGGGAGAACAGGACACATGAGAAGAGGAGGCAATGATGCAGGACAGCTACTTACAGCAGTCTCCTTCCCAGCTTCTCCAGTGCAGTAGGAATACTTGAAGAACGAGTGACAGCATTTGTATCCCCATCGGCCTTCTTTCCAGTAAGATCCCCAGATGTGCTGCGGAGAGCGAAAAGGGGATTACTCACCTAGGAATCTGCAATGAAGTCGCTCGTGGACTCTTTATGGGCTCAGAAATTGACATGGGTATTCTAGTGATAATCTGGAAGAAATATGGGGATTCCAGGCCTAGGTAACAGAACGGGCCACATTCAAGTGTTGAGAAGCTGGCATTGTAGTTACAATATCTTGAGTTGTAATTCTCAAAGCCTGTGTCAAAACATAGCCTATTTGACTTCTCTTAAAAATTGAAAGGTAGGGGCTGGGAAGGTGGCTCAGTGGTAGAGCGCTTGCCTTGCATGCATGAGGCTCTGGGTTTGATTCCCCAGCACCACATAAGCAAAAAGAAAAAAGCCGGAAGTGGCATTGTGGCTCAAGTGGTAGAGCGCTAGCCTTGAGCTGAAGAGCTGAGGGACAG